TATATATACGTATTTCCTGTATAACACAGAAAGAATATCATCATAATATGGTTTTATTCCAATATATAGAGATAATGCTTTGAATTGATGTGAATTGATATAATTAATGAAGATATAATAATCAAGTATTATTAGTACAAAAAAGTGAAGGAAACCATAAGATTAATGAAGCAGATTTAATTGAAATGACATCTGATTGTGAGTTAAATAAAATTAATTCAAAGAATAAGAACTCTGATGAAAATTTTGTTCAAAATTTTACTTTAAAAAGCATGCAAAGAGGCATAAATTTGGCCGAGCAATTGAAATTCTATTTTTTAAATAGAATTTTAATGTAAATCCTTTAACTAAAAAGAAACAAAAAACAAACATTTAACTCCGAAATTTATAAAAATGTATTAAAAAAATGTAAATGAGTCAAAAATTACAGATTTTTTGGAAAGCTAAACATAAACATTTAAATGTTTCAAAATTTTCAGAAAATAAGTACATTTTATAATCAAGAAAACACTCGTGTTTACTTGTGCAGCAAAGAAAATAATTAGCACGTACATTATTCAAGACTCCTGAATAGTAACCACAGCCACATTTCGAATCATGATGTCAAAAGCGAGAAATGACACATTAATTTCTATTACGTGCCATTTACAAATAAAGACAATTTGAATAAAACAATGATGAGATTGCTTTAAAATTTGTAAAAATGGACAAAAACTATGCTTATCCTTCCTGACAGTAAATAATCGTAAAAAATGATAAAAGGTACATCAAGGACTTTTGTCTCAGATAACCAAGCGAGATTTAGCAAATGGAACAAATTAATGCACTGCATGTATTGTTCTCAACTTGTCGACAATTTGCTGTCATTGGAATCTAATGTGAATTGAGTTAGCATCAGGAGGGCAAATAGATTTCATGAGTTTACGAAATTGTAAGAGTATACATTGAGAAATAATAAACTCACGTTGACAAACTGATGCCATGCACGTATGATGACAACTAATAAAACAAAATGATGAGAGTGCTTTAAAATATTTATAAAAACTATGCTTATCCCGCCTGACAGTCAGTAAATAATCGTAAAAACTGATAAAAAAGCAGGCTACGCATGCGCATTGAATTCCAGATAGCCAAATAAGAGCAATATGTTGTCATTTTGTTGTCACTTATTCCGCATTCAATTTCATCAAACTAAAGCCAAGGTATTTCCACAAACTGTCTGTTGTACTGATGTCACGTAAAGTTTTCCTTAGAATTCAACAAACTGTTGGCAAGTTGTCATCATACGTGCATGGCGTCAGTTTGTTGTCAACGTGATGAGTTTATTTCTCAATGTATACTCTTACAATTTCGTAAACTCATGAAATCTATTTGTCCTCCTAATGCTAACTCAGTTCACTAGATTCCAATGACAGCAAATTGTCGACAAATTGAAAACAATACATGCAGTGCATCAATTTATTTCATATGCTAAATCTCGCTTGGCTATCTCGGTTTTGATGTCACGATTCATATGGCTATGATCACTACTCAGCTTTAAATAACGTATGTGTTAACGTATGTGTTATTTTCTTCTTTATCGCTGCGCAATTAAGCACAAAAAATGTTTTCAAAAGTTAATGTGTCATTTCCCATAATTATAATAAAACTAATGTATTTTATTAGTTTATAAAATCTAATCTTGTTTGTTGTATTAATTTTTGATTTTGTATAACACGATTTCCATTGATATTTTTTTAAAATCTAACTGCCATATTATCTGTCTGTATGTATTTTAATTGTGTATTGTATTTTCATAATCTTTATACAGATTTTAAAGAATAAATGAAATTATAAATAGAATTGACAAATTCTTACAAATTTTAGATTATTTAAAGAGAACTTTACAGAATTAATATTTATACTTTCAGGTAATGCAACTGATATATATACAATTAAAATATCCTGTCTATATCAATCTCCCATGAATCAACTGAGAATCTTTATCTCTTAATCCATATAATAAAATTAAAAGTTAAGCAAAGAATATCTTAAATTAATATCTTGATTGAAAAGATATCTTCTATAAAAATAATAGTATTTTTCTTAGACAAAAATTGCTTTGCAAAAATGATGACAGAACTAGAAGAATCTTCAAAAGATATGCAACGAATAAATTCAGAACGAAAGATTCATTCGCTTGATGAAAAATTCATTCGGCCATCTGATAATCAGCAAAAACCGGTAGGCAAGGTACAAATGAAAAAGCAATTAGGCCTTTTGGAAGGAGTAGCTATCATATTAGGAATTATATTTGGCTCAGGTATATTTAACTTGCATTTCCAATAAATAAAAGTTTAAAATAGTTTTTAAAACTGCAATGTACTTTTATGTATTTCGTGCTTTTGTACAATTGAATTTCCGCTAAGTTACATATTTGCAGGCATCTTTATTTCACCAAAGGGAGTAATACAAGAAGTAGGTAGTGTAGGATTATCTCTGATTATATGGATGCTATGTGGCCTGCTCTCTATGGTAGGTGCCTTATGTTATGCGGAATTGGGTACTAGCATACCTCGCAGTGGTGGAGATTATGCTTATATTCATGAAGCTTTTGGTGCATTGCCTTCATTTCTATATTTATGGGCTGCTAATTTAATTTTTGTGTAAGTAAATTTCAAATTAAATTTCATTAATCGATGTATAATATTGATAGAAAAACATATCTTTGTTGCTTACAGACCTACAACAAACGCTATCATGGGACTGACATTTGCTCAGTATGTTGTACAGCCATTTTTTCTTAATTGCGACACTCCGGTTTATGGTGTGCGATTAATCGCTGCATTGAGTATATGTGAGTTTTTAATATTTTGTTAAAGATTATCATCATCAAATTTCTAAACAGATTAGGCTTTACGATCTATGTTCCTACTTAACAGCTCATTTTTTTCTTAGACGTCCTCGATAATTAAGTGCTATCTTCCGCAGTCTCGCGTCTTCTATGCGAATTACGTGTTTGTTACCACCTCTTTCTGTACTCATAATATTAATTTTCATAATATTAATATTAATTTTCTCCTTAATGATGTGGACTCCTAAATCCTATCTGATAGCATTATTTCTCATATGATCCGCTCTTGTACGCATTTGGATTTTCTTTGCATTCTGATCTCATCACTTAAGCTTCGCATTTATACAACTATATTGGCATAGCCATGACTTTGTAGATGCTATGATTTTAAGAGGGTTTCCTTTCTGCATTGATTGTCTAAAGTTCTTCTAATCGTTTCACATATTCTTATGAAATTCCTTAGTTTATTTTCGATATTTCTATTGTATATATATATATATATATATAGTAGATGATCTTATAGCTTAAATATTTTAAGCGAATGACTTGTTTTAGCGTTATATTTTTCAGACTTATTTTTGATCCAATCTTATTCTTGCCATGAAATGCCATGAATTATTTTTTATTTACTATAACATAATCAATTAGGCTCTATTGTCTGGTTGTTCATGTGTTGATATCTTGCTTTCTGAAAAAAGTGTTTGTCATTTTTAAATTATTGATAGTCCAATAATGTTGCAATATTCTCCCATTGTCATTAAACGTCAGTTCTCCCTAATTTCTTATAACATTATCGATAGGTTCGTTCTCTACTCTCACATTCAAGTTTCCTGTTATCACGATGTAGTAACTTTTATTTATTCTATTATAATATTTTTAACTTTTTGTCTCTTCCTTTTTCCCGTCCTCTGAGGTCCATCCATAATATTGAGATGTCTCCTACATATTTATAGCACTATCGTTTCTCCACCTTCTACCTATTAGTACTTATCTATCGTTACTTTTACTTTCGCCCTTTAGTTCTGAACTACTCTGCTCCAAATCATAAGTTTGTTGTCTATATCCATAGTTGCTTTCAGTTTTTCTTTGTTTCTAATAGTACTAATTGTCTTTCTTTTGTTCATTATTGCTATTATTCGTCTTGTCTTCCTAATAAGCTACCTCTGAGTTCCAGGTAGCAATCCTAATATTTTCTTAATCCTAATATCCATTTCCTCTTTCTACTTCCGTATCCATAATCCTTTGTTGCCTTTGTTTCCGTCTTGTCCGAGGTTGCTGAAGAAATTCTGACTGCCGAATATTGTTAATGACTGTCGAGTTGGGTTACTAATCCCCGTTGGGTTGGATTTTTTATCGAGCTGGTCTAGATTCATATATTTTGGAAAAACAGTGTCACCTCGTGTAGGATGTGATATTCATCGTGCATAGTTTTGATCTAATGAAACCTCCGGCCCTTAGAGCTCTATATTCGTAAAATTATCATCATCTTATTCATCATCTTATTTAAGATATAATTCATAATTATTTGAATGCAAATGTGCGCTTAAAAATAAATAGTGACGCGTGGATATATTTATTATTTATACAGCTAAATTTAAATAATTTAAATATAATTAAACATATTGCTTGAGGATAACTTTATTCAATTTAATATACAAAATCTACTATGTTCATCTATAGGTTTCCTCACTTTCATCAATTGTTATGACGTAAAAGAGACGTCAAAAATGCAGAATGTATTTATGTTTGCTAAAATTGGGGCATTAATAATTATTATTATAGCTGGATTAATCTGGCTTTGTATAGGTACGTTTTTTAATCAATTTTTCAATTCTTAATAAAATTTTAATCATTTATTAAGAATTATTCTTTTTAATCTGTTATGTTAATTAGGACACAAAGAAAACTTCGAAAATAGTTTCGAAAACACGAACACCGATCCTGGAAAAATCGCTGTAGCTTTTTACTCTGGCATATTTTCTTATTCAGGATGGAATTACTTGAATTTTATGACGGAAGAACTAAAAAATCCTTATGTGTAAGTTACAAAAATGATTGATTATTCTATTATAAAAGAAAAGAAAAAAATTAAAACTTCGATTTTATTCCTTGATCATTAAATTAATTGACTGACTTAACTCAATAGAAATTTACCACGTGCAATTTACATATCACTGCCGCTAGTGACCTTAATATATGTTATGGCAAATGTTGCTTATCTAGCCGTTTTAACTCCAACTGCTATGATGGCTTCCAATGCTATCGCTGTGGTAAGTAATAATTTTTAATGTACAAGATGTCTGGTACATCATTTCTTGTGAACAGATAGAGCGAAATAAATTTAGTATCAAAGTCTTATATTATTATATCTTTCAATTAAAAACGGAGACCAAAAAATTTGGTCTGGATAATGGTCCGAAGCTAAATCCGATTTTTGATTCTAATTCTTTTATTGTAATAGGTATCGGGTCCGCTTGCATTTCGATCCTTTTTATTCGGTAATTATATATCTGTAACGGTCACTGTTGTCATTGAAAAAACCAGAATCAATACCATAACCAAAAGTTGAGTAGTCTCAGACCATAATTGTAATTCGATCAGGCTGAAATTTTAATCCATAATGCAATTTCGGTCTGAGTCTCTGGAAAAAGAAATTAATTATTAAAGTAAGCCGATTGAGCGTGTAACTTTTAAGAATTAATTTCTTATTAGCTATTACGAAAATTATAAAATGGTATCAAAGGACTTTGACTCACTTTAGTATAAAAGATGATATGGAACATCCTGTGTAACAATTAATTAGTTAGATTTCAGTAGCATCCCTGACGGAAAAATTTTACGAAAAACTACATAAATTGAGACAAGATCTTAGAAATTCTTGATTTTTCGTAGTAGATATTCGTATAGATATTAGAAATAGATATTAGAAGATATAGGTAGTAGAACGTAAAACGACGTTGTTTATTTAAAACATCAAAAAATTCTTCATCCTCAAATAACAACACTCTATGTCCTACGAATATCTACGATTAAGAATTTCTAAGACAAACAAACTCACTCTACATCCTACTATAAATATTTAAAAAAAATTGAGAAATTTCTAAAATCTTGTCTCAATCTATGTAATTTTTTTCTTTCGTATTTTTTTTCCGCCAGGGATTGTCAAACGTATACAAAATTTAGTTTTTTTATTAGACTTTTGGAAATCAACTTCTCGGATATATGGCTTGGATAATACCTTTAATGGTAGCTGTATCCGCTTTTGGTGGCTTGAGCGTTCATATTATGACATCATCTAGAATGTGCTTCGTCGGTGCCAGAAATGGCCATTTTCCCTCGATGTTGAGCCACATCAATATAACCAGATTCACACCTATGCCTGCCTTAATATTTCTGGTATGTAACGCTAAATTATGTTTGCTAATTAAATTTTTAAGGTTTTTAATCTCTTTTATTATAGCTATATTGAATTATGATCTTAGAAGAACAAAAATTAAAAACTTTCTTATTTTATACGTTAAAATAAATTCTTTTCTTTCTTTATATCATAAATTATCAATCTTTTTGCATTTGCAGTGTATTCTATCTCTCATAATGTTATGCACGGGTGATATATTTGTACTGATTACATACTGCAGTATAGTAGAATCATTCTTCATTATGATCTCAGTAGCTGGAATTTTATGGCTGCGTTATAAAAGACCTAACATGGAACGACCAATCAAGGTAATGTATTTCATATACATGAAAGTATTAAACAGTGTATACAGGGTATTATATAAATGGCTACTACTTTTTTTACTTTGTAAATCAACAGACATAGATGTAATAAATATACGTACTCTTAAATTAAACTTTATGTAAGGCTCTTATTTTAGCTCAAGCTTAGAGTCAAGCTTAAGTCGTCCTATTGTTTTTATTGTTTTAATTTTAAATTATTTCAGCCATTTTGTATCAAGTTTAAAATTCAAAAATTATAGAGATCTTTGACTCAATTTAGTATACTATCTGCATATAAAGTGTGTCTGTGTGCGCGCGCGCGCGTGCATATATATATATATATATATATATATATGTCATTGAAATTTCTTCTCCTCAGATACCATTATGGATACCTATACTATTCGTAGCATTATGTGCTTTTCTGGTTATTGTACCATGCTACCAAAGACCATATGAAGTTGGTATGGGCATTCTTATTACTGTGTCTGGTATACCCGCATATATCCTCGGTGTTGCTTGGAAAAGCAAACCATTGTGGTTCCAAAAAGTTAACAGTTCGTAATTTTTACAAATGCAATTGAGTTTATTCATTATTTATACATTTATTTAAAATTTTCTACATTGCCTCTCTTATGTCATTAAACAGTTCTGAACTTTCTTCGCAGTCAATTCTAATAGCAAGTGATAAAGTTTTTATAATAATATTGCTATTTGCGTATTCAAGTAACAAATATAAAGTAGGAAAACAACAGATAGAGGTTATAAATTTTCAGAAAAAAGAATGAAAAAAATAGAAAGGTTCAGAATATCATTGTTTAATTATGTATTTCATTTATTTTTCTATTTTATTTTTCAGTTAAAGCTACTCACGCTATACAGAAATTATTTCTGTCTGCAAGGGAAGAACTTGAAATCAATTAAGTAAATGGCAATTCTATTTCATCATTCAATTTAATTGAATTCAATCGAATACGATATTATATATTTGCCAAATTATTTTGAGATTTCAGAAAAAGAAATTTATGATTTTGTAGAAATCAAAAATTAAAAAATAATCTAAAAAAAGGCAAGAACATATAGGTTCAAAGGATAATGGATATAACCACAAAGAATCCCAAAGGTATTTATTATATTTTTCTAAAAATTACATAACAGTGTAATGAAAAGAAGATTGAAAAATGAAAGAACTATACTACGTGATGATGTACTGTATATAGAATTGAATAGATCTGATAATTGCATTTTGATTTTCAATATGCCAAAGGAGTGTCTTTTGTTTTTGTGTGCTACAGTATTATTAATATTATTCTTTATTAATTATATCTACATTTTTGATGCTATTATATATATTAAGTATTTATAATATACTAATATGTGAAGAAGTTTTATAAGCAGCTTTATATTGCAAAAGCTGTATTTTAATGATGTCAGTATATCACAGTAGAAAATATAAATGTATATATCAAATTTATAATTATGAAAGAAGATTGCATTGTAAAATATCCCTTTCTTGTTTAAGTTTCCTATTCTCTTCGACTTTCTAATATCCTAAATCAGGCTTGTCCAAACCTTGGCTTATAAGTCAAAATGCTTCCATCTCTCTACCGTCTTGATAGAGTGAAATACAAATGATTCCGTATAAAACATTTTTTAATTTATCTCTGGTTAATTATTTCGGCTAAAGGCTCTCTTGGCGAGTTGGTCAACTTCATTTCGTTCTGTACCGAAACGACACAGAACATTATAACTTTTTGCGCTCAGTACCTTCGCTTTCTCTCTTTAATATTCGAACATATGTTTATTCTATTTTAAGTACAAAAAAAACTTTGAGAGATTTCAAGCAGATCTATTGTACTTTTCCATTCTTCATTAAAAGGATTCTAATTATTGTTAAACTTGTTGAAACAACAAAACTCTTAAATCATTTTTGAAGTTGTTATAATAAATGCACATTTTATTATAATCTATTAGCAATGTAATTTTCAATATTAGATTCAACTAATATAATAAAACTTCATGATAGGATGACCAACAATAATTCATTTAAGATTTGAATGAAAAGCCATTATTGTATATTCTTAAGGTGACCTTACATGATCAATAATACTGTCAGTATTACTAATTTAATATCACTGTATTATTGATCGTGTAAGGTCATCTTATAACAAATACAAAATATAAATTGGCTGCGTTTAACAGAATGATTATTTTGTAACTTTTGGAAGTTTTCTTCTTGCTGATTAGATTATACTTTCAGATCTAGAAGAATGCTCCTATCTCAGTAAACAATTATAAAATGGTTGCAAAACTATTGTGTTCTGCTGACCATATTTATTTCATTAAGATGATTCTTTAGTTAATCGAGTTATCATAGAAATGTCTAATTTTTTTATTTAGTGAAGTTGAAGTATCGAACTTAATATATGCAAAATTCTAGAGTAGGTTAACGATGAAATGAAAAAGAAAAAGAACATTGAAAATGCAACTTTTAATATACAACTTAGTGATAGGTAAGGAAACGTTTTTTTAACTGACTATATACAAATTATCATACTTCTCTTAAAAAATGAGATTATAGTTTAAAAAATTACGATTGTAATGGTCACAAAAAAGTAATGGGTTAATGGCCATTCAGAAAAGATATTTCTGTGTGTAAACATACAATCGAAAAAATAAACGTAATCTCTTGATTACGTTTGGTGAAGATGCAGCTTTTGATTTACTATGTATGTTTCATACTACTTTATTAAGATATACATATAGTTTTAATATTATGCAGATAGTTGTGATTTTGTGTGGGCCCTGAGGCACCAAATTTTCAGTACTTTTAAGTAACCATCTCAATATTATAAATAATTAGGTAACAGTGTGCAAAAGTTTCTGGCCAGTGACATTTTGTACTCTAAATAAAAAAAGCCTGACACAAAATTTTAATCATTATCGGATGTTAATACAAGATGTAGGTAACGAAATTTTGTACACTTGATCTTGTAACATCTGATAATGATTTATGAAAATTTTATCAGGTTTTTTTTTTATAAATCACAATAGAATATAAAATGTTACTAGCTGGAAACTTCTGCATGCATATATGTATATATGTATATATTCACATAAAGAACAGATTTTAAAATGATGTGAAAGGATTAGCTACCTCATTCATTAGTTTTCATTCATAACAGTATGTTAACTAAATAATGAGCTTTCTACAATAAGCCATTAGTAATAGATCAGAAGCAAAAAGCGAGTTGTAAGCGAATCAATAATAATATGTAATAAGGTATGTAATAAGTCAGTAATGACTAATGAGTAATCAATAATTGCGTAGAGATGGCCAAATTATATTTCTTACGATTTAAAATTTCGGTTATGTTAGAACTGACCAATCACATTATATAATTATTTGTCTTAAAAATTATTCCTTCTAATTGGCTGAAATATTATGACGTAATAATCTAATATCAAATTTAATCTGGATGTAAGTTTCCTAAAATTTATGACTTAGAACAAAGCTATTCAAAATGGATATTTAAAATTGAAATGTGTGTAGGTATTTATGCTATTTTTATTCTTCATTTCATTGTTGTTTTGTTGTAATACGCAACGCTCTGTCTCAAACATGATATTAGTTTGAAATCGTTAAAAATTTTTGACTTATATCACTCTTTATGTTTATAAGTATTCTATTGCTAATATTATAAGATACTATTATTCATAATAGATTGAACTATAAAAATACATTATGAATAATAATATTAATAACAGAATATTTTGAAATATATTGACTGACGCAGGTCAAAAAACTTTTAACAATTTCAGACAGATCGTCTCTGAGAATCAGCGTCGCATGCTATGATAAAACAGCAATAAAGTAATAAGTAGGAATGGTAATAGGTATGAATACAATTTTAATTTCAAGCTAAAAGTATCCATTCTGGTTCTGACTTATAATTCTGACTTACTATTAATATAAGTGGTTTATTGTAAGAAGCCTGTAATTTTATATCACTTTTACCAAACAACAAAGAATAGATACTGGAACGCATAACCGAATATAATTCCATTCCTATTGTACACATTTGATACAATCTTGTTAACATCATATTAATGAATGTCTTCTGGATTGAACATTCCCTATAAACAATTGTAATAAATAAGATTTTCCAAGAGAAAAGAATAAAAGAAGGAATGTGTTAAATTGAACGATAATTCACTATCATTCAATTTCAATCATAATAAATAAATGTCATACTTTAGCACGTCTCAAGATAGAATCTTTGCTGGCATCGTATGGATGATCTTTACTTGGAATTTCCAATACAGCGGGTATCGGTTGAGTATGACTATCAATTACGTGACGAATCATTTCAGCTACCTGCGATAGAGTACCAAATGTCAGATACAGAGAATACAAAGAAGCATTGTTTTTAATTAAATGAAATTACTTTTATTATTATAAACAGAGTACAACTTAATAGATCTGTTGCTTGTATTTTTTATATTTAGAATCTTTCTCTTTTCTCAATACCCAAATATATTTTTCATTCTAATTGCAAAAATTTTTAAGAAATGCAAATAGACCTAATGTTATGACTTAAAAAAAATTTTAATTACCGATGAAATAATTATCTTTGCTACTTACATTCTGGTTAATAAGAATGATATCAATATCATCACGCTTGATAAATCGCTTAAAAGTATCCTCTACTTCACTTACTGCTGTATCTATAAAGATCATTATTTTTTATTAATGTACAATGTACCTTAAATAATGTACATTATCTTAATGTAATATAATTGTATACAGAATATTTTTCATAATAATTATGATTACATTACATTTCTTTATACAGCGAAACAACAATAAAGAATAATAGATTATCTAATCAGTAATTAACTAATTAGTTTGTTGCTTTTTTTAAAAATAATGAGGAATACTCAGCTGTTGCATACTAAAATATTTATAATATGCGACTAATACATACTTTTGTCGACAACCATAAAGTTAGCCTGACGATGTTTATTTATCTCTCCAACTCCACCTAGTAAGAAGCCTACGCAAGTATCCTGAAATAAGATAAATATTCAGAAATACTATCACATCAAAAATCAGTTTTTTCAATAATTAACAAAATTAGTTAAAAAAAGATATGTATACAATATTTTAAAAAGAGGCTTTATAGTTCTTATGGAAAAACCTGGATAATTATATTGCATATATTTAAAATGTCAATTTAAATATCAATTTTATGTTAATTAAATAGTTCACAGTAGTTATTCAAATCTTTCATCTACTAAATTGATGAATCTGATATACTAAAATTAGAAATTTTATGAAAAAAATTAACAAAGATCCTGGTAAATATTCAAAAAGTACTATTCTATCAGAAAACACAATTTTTTTTCAGTAATTAGCAAATCTAGTAAAAAGACAATACAATATTTTAAGAAGGAACTTCTACCTTTACTATAATTTTAAATTAATTTAAGCAGTAAATATGTACATTATAGATATAAGTTTTGAGTCAAACTAATCTCTGCTATAATTAAAATTACATGAGAAAATACATGCAATTGCAGAGTTTTTCTCATAAACAATAAGTTTTCTCTTAAAATCTCTTGCATATAAGTCTTTTTATAATTAGTTTTAATAAATACTGAAAAGAATGGGATAGTACTTCTAAACATTTATCAAAAATACCCTCAATTATGAAGATAGAATAAGATTACAAAAATTCATGATATTTAGCATTGCAGAATCATTGAAAGGAACAAGTATATATGTTAGTTTTATTAATTACAGCAATCTAATAGTTTATACATTATAATGTACTATAATTTAATCATACATATTATGTAACTACTGACTGCGAAAACAAATGAAACAAAGTATAAGAACAAAACATCAAGCTCACGATTTT